AGGTGGAAGAGACGACTGTTGGGCAAGGTGGCTCCCGGGTACAGGTCGATAGCACAGTCATAAGGTCTATGAGGGGGAAGAGAATCCGTGGCCAGGTGTTTGTTAAACACCTGCTGGAGATCGTGGTAGTCTGAGGGAATGGCAGATAGATCCACTGGCTCTGGTGGTGTAGCAGGTGACGAGGGTGTGGATTGTCCGGCGAGGAGGCAGGTCGATGCACAGGCGTTCATTGCCAAAACCAGTGGCGTGTCTGGAATGGAGAAAATATTGAAGGTGATGTCCTTGTGGTGGTTGCGGGTGATGGTGAGACGGAGTGGTGGAGTGTGATGAGTGATGCGGGTCAGCAGTCGGCCGTCGATAGCCTGGGTTTCTATGTTGTGGGGCAGAGGTTCCGGTGTTAGGCCTAGTTGCTCCACCAAGGCTGGGTCGATGAGGTTGCCCCCGGAGTCCAGAAGTGCCTGGTAGGAGGACGTCTGACCAGCGGTTTCCAGGAGCACGGGAAGACGGCAACTGGTACCTGGCCTGGTGGAGTTGGAGGAACGCCCCGTCAATGTCCCCACTTTCACTGGCGGGCCCGCTCTTTTGGCTGCACCGGGCAGGTAGCTATAAGATGGTCCAGAGCCCCACAGTAAAGGCACGCCCCGGTGCGGATACGGTGGGGGCGCCCCTCCGGGGGAAGTCCATGGGTTCCTCTGGGTTGCGACGGGTGCTGATATTGGAGACCCCCAGCCGAGGAAGAGCCCGGGCCTTGACTGGTTCTGCTGTGGCATGGGGCCGGGGGGCCGACTGCTGCGCCGACTGCTGCTTGCGGAAAGAGCCCTGTTGACGGTCGATCCGGATGGCCAAGTCGACTAGGGAGCTAAGGTCAGGGGGCTCGTCCTTCATGTTCAGTTCAGCCTTGATGTTCTCGTTGAGGCCGTGCCAGAAGGCTGCACGTAATAGGCGGTCCTCCCAGCCGGCCTCCATAGCAAGGACCCGGAAGGCAATGGAATAATCCAGGACTCCTCGAGCCCCCTGGCTAATAGTCAGAAGCTGCCTAGATGCTTGGCTCTGCTGAGATGATGGAGAAAAAACCGTCCTCAAGTCATCCAGGATTCAGTGATGGTGGTGCCGATGAGTAAGCCACTGGAGTCCGCAGCCTCGGCCCA